ATTCACCAACACCTCAATACTCAATTCTCATGATGCCACCTCAATACTCTTGGTTCTTCCTTTAATATATATATATAGATTCTTCTTTTTATCCATTAAATTCAATTTTAATTCCATGTATCTCTTAAATTTAGTTATTTTTTAAATTAAATTCCTTTTCATTAGTCTACGAACTTTAATCGTTCCAAACGTTTTACTAAAGTTCATATGTGAAACCAGAAAATAAAAGAAATAACTAAACTAGTTTAAACAAAGTTCACACAAGAGAACCAATGATTTTCGTTTAAAAGTTATTATGTTTGTTTCATGTATGAATTTTAGTTGTTCCAATTTTTTACAAAATTCATAAGTAAAACCAGAAAGTGAACGAGATAATTAAAATAGTTTAAACAGAATTCATAGGTGAAACAATGGTTTTTGTTTAAAGTTCATTACAGTTTTGTTTCAAAATGATTAGTGAATGAAATAATTAAAGAATGTGATGATTAAGTGAATGAAATAATTAAGAAATGTACTATCGGTATATGAGGAAGAAGAAAATAGCCTGATTAGCTCAATTTTGTACTAATTAGACGGTTAATAAAAGAATGTGCCAGAAAAATTACTTTATGAACAAAAAATATCTAACGCTAACACGATACAACAGATTATCGCATTCGACATAAATGACAACGGCTCTCGACCAACTTGACAACACAACAAATCAAATTCGATAGTAATCAATATATTCATGCATCGATAAGTTAGAGAAATAGAAAGACATCATATCGTTTACGTAGTATTCAATTAACTTCGCGTGCAAGATAACATGATACAGTTACTGAACGAGACCGAAAAACCAAACTTCTAACAAACCCCCGATCTTCCATATCTTACATAATCAAAGGACCAACCCCCGGGATTCAACCGACGAAGTTCTTTTACTACTTTCTACAAAACCCGCAAAGTTGGCATGTATTTGCCTATCTAACTTCCCACGTGTTTCTAGAAACTCATCGTTCTTCGTCTCTTCAACTCGATACGGATTTTCTTGATACGATAAAACCGGTTTAGGGTTAAGGGAACCATCTAAAGTGATCAAGTCTTTTAATTCGTCAACTAAATCCTGGGTTTCGATTGTTTCATTCTTACCTACGTGATCGCAATCTAATAAAGACACAAATTTCACAGGTGGGGGCGGAGTTGGGGGGCGGATCATGTTAAGGCCAAAAACTAGGGAGAGTTGAGAGAAAGATAACCTAAGAAGCTTATTTAAGAGTTTGTAGAGATTATTACTAGCAATTGCGCTTCTGTTGACGAAGAAGGAGGTCCGTGCTTGTTTCCCCAGATGGATTAGGTAATGCTTCCATGTCGTGTTGAACCGAGGATGGCCTGAAGCTTCCTGTCTACATACAGACTTTTGTTAGATAAATAAGCTTAACTTATTTTTTGAGCTTATTGAAAAATCCCCGTTTGGTTGGCTATAAGCTAGCTTTCTCGAATGCTACTTGAAGTAGCGTTTCAATAAGCCCCAGTGGTTATTTTTTTCCAATTATGCCCCCATATATTTTTTCCAATAATTTTTCATCATGTTTTTGTAGATCATTTTACATTATCAACTAGTCTTTACCAAACATGACCAGTTTATTTCTGCAAAAATTTTACTTGCCACACACAAAACCCACCTCCAAGGACACCGATGTGAGGGGGCACTTTTGGCTCACTTAGTGACTGAGGCTAGTGGGAGCCTAGGATCCAACCCGGAACCTGTCTTGTGTTTGGGCAAAAAATCACCCCACCCCTCTGCCAACCGAGCTACAGGCCGAAGGCAACATGACTAGCTTATTAGGTAACAACTAGCTTATCAAACATAGCCATAGGTTATCGAAAAAGTCAACTTTATAGTTTTTCTTGTCCCAGAAAGAACACATTGCAAAATCTAAGAGGACGTTTACCAAACGCTTACCCAGGTAAATGCTTACCAAGTCACATTACCTTATCGGATGAATATGACAAGAACCAAGAATCTTACCTGATAAGAGCGAGGGCAAGGACCGAGAGTCTTACCCGGTAAGTGAGAGTGACGACTTTTACCATGGTTAGTGCTTATCGGGTAAATTGTTGCATACGATGCCGTTTTTATTGGACTAAATCTTACCCCGTAAGTGATAGTATTGAATTTTATCAATAAGCGCTTACCGGGTAAAAATTTGGTAAACGGCCCCTAAGATTAAAGATGAACTTAGCGTTCCAACTTCAAAATATAATCTTCAATTTTTAAAGATTGGATAAATAGTCCTTAAATAGGATCATGGTTGAAAATAGTTTTTAAATTGAACTCTTTCTCTTTGGGAAGGAGGGATCTATATTTGATGAAAGAGAATTGTACTGTGGTAGTGTGGTGCTTGGAGACAGTATTACACAAAGCTGGAGTCCTGGGATTTATAGCTAAGAGCAATAGCAGTACTGAAATTTATAGAGAAACTTACATGAGGGAGGACGTAAGGACGAATGGCAAACCCGATGATCAACCCAATTAAACAAGCAACTCCCATGCCGATGCCCCAGGCTGTCGTTGATCCGAGTCCTGAAATTTTGAATTTTTAAAGGGCATGTTATATTTCTAAGCGGAAGAATCTTGACAAGCTATTATAAAAGTTCAAGGACATTTCAGCAGCGACTGAAAATGGTAAGCGCTGACCGGGTAGGAGTGTGGTTTGGGTAAGCACCGACTGAAAATGGTTGTTTACCAAGTGTTCTATAGCAAGTGTTTACTATTAAAAGATGACCATTGTAGAGGAGAAATCAAATACAAATCATGCAAAGGTTACAAACCATACAAACCAATCAATGAAGATATTTATGGAAATGATGAAGGTTCGTTTATTATGATTTGAGTATGTATGAAAGATGATTATAGTTCATTAATTATAATCAACGCTTTATATAGGAAACAATCGATATATTTATGAAACTAAATATTCGTCAGACTAGATGGCCGGTTGAGATTGGTTTGTATTTGATTTGTCCTCTACCATTGTAACCCTCTCTATAATTAAATGTTTGATGAAAAAACCCTAATTGGAAAAAAAGGTAGCATGGAAAGACATAAACCGACTCAGCAAGTGAAATAATAATGATGGTCAGGTAGGTGCTTGGTCAACACCTTCAGTCATTGAGTAAACATGTTGATGCTGACCGAGTCAGCCAACCGAATCAGCAGTGATCAGCGGTAAGTAAACTATAAACCTAATGCTTACCAGATCCGGAAGAACTGCCAGCACAATCCTCAGCCTTCAGATCAAGCTGACGGACCAATCTATTACCATGATCAGAGATCAACAATGTGCATCTCTGAGGGTCGAAAGCCAGCTCAAAATCATCAGAAAACGAAGCATTCTGTGCAGGTCCATCCGCTTTGCCTGTCTTTCGTACGTAGCCCCCAGCAATTGTGGTCACGCCTATGAAGTCATTCATTCAAGAAAACCGATAGTTACAACAAATAATTTACCAACTAGAATCCTTGCAACTTCAGTCCAAATTCATGCAGAAACTCTGAAATTAACTCGAGTAAAGCACATGTCAGCAGGTCCTAATAGAAAATCATGCTATTTGAAAGTTGACCAATTGAAACATTCAGCGTATAGATATAATGCCATCATATATGCATCTGTTTTTGAGTCTCCAGCAGTTCGTGTACAACAGATGATACGGTGGCTCTTTTCATTGTAGTTTAATTAAAACTTGTGTTCTCATTGTAGTTTCAAAATATATACATGGCCGCACACAAAAGATTGATACGGTGGCTCTTTTCATGACCCTATAAATTTTTACACTACGACGGAGGAACGAAACTGTGGTCCGTGCCACCATATCCAATACACTGGGTCCGTCCCTGCTCCCATCTATTGAGCACACGACATCTAGCATTTTTCATTGATTCATTCTTTCTCTTTCACCATAAGATGGACATCATAGAAAGAATAGTAAACGAACATAATTAACTATCCAGTATATACAAGAACATGAAATGTGAAGAGTAGGAACTTGTGACTAACTTTGTGCGTGAATATATCTATATACCTGATTTGCTTATTTTCCTTATCACATGGTTGGTCATGTCAGCAATGTAAATGTTGTTTTTCCTATCAAGAGCAAAGCTTTTGGGCTTATTAAACATGGCAGACCCCAAATCACCATCCATATACCCAGCATCACCATTACCAGAGAGCTTCTTGATATCAACCCCTGAAAACAATAATAATCATATTACACATCCGTATCCTGGTATCTAATAGATACGAATGTAAAAACATGAAAGAAGTACAGTTTCAAGCAGCAATGCACAAAAGTCACCTTTCTTGCATGAGTTCTGTGGTTTTTCCTATCAAGTTTGCAATGAAAATCAATCCCCAAAAGCCAAAATAAAAATGCAATTCATTCTGTTTTGGATCATCCAAAATAGTTAAATGATTCATATCATTGAATCCCTCGTGTTGTTTGATGTTGTTGGGGAAATTGGGTTTGTGGTTTTATATAGCTTGGATAGATTTCTGGATCGTGTATGGAAAGACATTTTCCAAATACTATATTTTCTACCCTATAATGCCTTGGGTTTGCACGAAATTAGTACCAGGATAATCCAGAAAAATTCATATACGAATTAAGGCATAAATTTATATATATATATATATATACACACACACACCATATCACATTTTATGTATTTATATGAGAGATCGACGATTACAGGTGATGAAAACGATTAAAATATAATTTTATGGCAGCTATATCCGTTAACAGATAAAGTTTGTGAGCAGCTATATCAGAATCAGAAGGCAACATCCAAAGCTCTGGTTCCATGGTCCAGAGCTCTCATTTCTACCAATTTCGGGAACAATTTCAAGAAGGCTTCCAACCTTCTGAAATTCGTCCGGAACATCCCGAAACTAAAACTCTAAGTCTAACTCTTCTTGAAATCCATAAACTTCGGGGCGCTGCCCCTCGACCCCTCCCACTTATCAGTGAGTGGGACCACTGCCAGGGGCGCTGCCTCTTGGACCCTTCAAGAGGCACAGCCCCCCTTGACCCATCTTTCAATCTAAGGTAATAGGGACAACATTTGTGAATATGCACTCGACACCTCCTAACCTAAGGTGATAGGGACGACATTTATGAATGTACATTCGGCACCTCCTACCTCACTTTATTTACCTTATCACCTTAATCAATCTCAAGTAAATTACAATTACACCAAATGTTTGATGACACTAAAAATCACCAGCTAATGTTGGTGTGAAGAGAGTTTTATAATCTCAAGTAGATCAGAAGTAAAAGGAAACATCGTAATTCGACTATAACTCCGTTACTTATACCTTGAGAATCGGAAAACGAGACTGTGTAAATTGTACTTTTGACATGGTCGAGGATGATGAGATCGGACGATGATCCATACAGAGAGAAGACGGAGTAAGGGTTGATGTTAAGCTTGTCTCCGTCGATTAATGTAGTTACAGTGTAACCTTCCTCGAAGACAATCTCGCCGCCGATTCCTACAAGGAATTCGTGCAAAACATCGTTGAGTAAGGAAAAAAATAAAAAATAGCGATCAGGATACAGAAAGTTGAGAAATATTTACCTAGAGTTAGGTTAACAAGAAGGATGAAGCCGATGATGAACCGGAAAATTGAAGATGAAGCCATGGAATCTGCAGAATCAGGGAAAAGTGAAACAACAGAGAGTAAAGTTACTTGGGAGTTGGGACTATCTGATATTTGATTATCAGCAAAATTCTCGAAAAATAACAAAAGCAAACAGCAAAAAGCAAACATGATGGAATTAGATATTTTTGACTTAAACGAATCTCAATGAAATTTGACCATATATATTTGGGTGGCAGAAATTAGAATGAAATCTTGAATTAGTATAATGTCTTTGTTTGGACTATCTACTTTATCGTTTTGTTCACACCCTACCAACCATTATGCCACTATTGTCGTCGTCATATCTATCGTCCCAGCCCTAACCAACCACCACTCTCGCCCAACTCCTGCTTCCTAGGTAGGGGTTATTGGGGGGCAAGCAAGGTGGGGCGAGACAACGAGGGTGGGACCAGAGTAGGACAGTGGGTAGCAGGGTAGTAGTTGTAACGACTACAATGGTAGGATGGTGGCATGGTGATTGGTGGTGGGTTGGGGGTGAGTGGCAGTTGGGACAGTGACAATAGTGGTGTGGTGGGGGTTAAGTTATGAGCATGACAGTAACGGTAGTAGTATGGTCATAGTAAGGATGTGCAGTGAATGACCGGAGGTGGGTGGGTATGACGACAACAGTAGTGGCATGGTGGTTAGTAGTGGGTTAGAATGGGTGGGTGGGTGACGGTGACAATCGTGGCGTGGTGGTAGGGATGGGGCATGACGAACAATATTAGCATGGTCGTGGTGGGTAGTTATGGAATTCAATTTCTTTCATTATGCCAATGAATAATGAATTCATTAATTTGTGGAATTCAATTAAATTTGAATGATTCCATTCACTTCAGAAAATGAACCAAACAAATGAACTGAAATTTGGTCAAAGGAATTTGTCATTATAATTCCACCAAATTCCTTCGAATTCGACAAACCAAACAACCCCAATAATAGTTCCAAATTTCCAATCTTTTTGAAAATGTAGTAATCGAAATGAAATTTGTGTAATGAATTAAAATACGTTTGTTTAATTCGTTAGATATAACTTTGGAATTGTAATAAAATAATTATAAATGACGAAACCTTTTTATAACATGGTGGTGGCGGGACAATGGTCATGGCAGCAGTGATGGATGGACCACTCTATTGGGTACAGTGTCGCGGGTCATCATTTTGTTCTTCCGTCGTAACGTAAAAAATTATATGATTGTAAAAAGGGGTCATCGTATCATTTTGTTCCTAAATTATTTTTCTAAACAAATAAATCTTTAAACTTTATGAAATCGAACAATAAATCCTTAAACTTAATAAAACCGAGAAAAAAACCCAATGAATTTTCATATTTTGAACGATTACGTCATTTGTAAATCCTTACACCCGTAAACAAATAGATTTATCCGTTCTCTTACATGTATTAGCAAATCAATAGAAAAGTACAAAAACTAATAAAACAAAAAATACACCATTTTTATTAACCTTGTTTATTTTCCAGACTTAAATGATAAAACAGATGTTTGTTGTGACTCTATGATTGTAATTTGAATACAGAAAACAAATAATTATTAGATTGTCATTCCAGTAAAGTCGTCGATTGTAGCGGTACCTGAAATGAATGTTGAATGCTCCGAGGTTGAAAGGCAAGTAGATAAGCTTCAAATCTAAAAATTAAACAATGGATAGCGAAAATGGTATTTAATTAGTTTTTTTATTAGATTATTATACTTTGTTACTGATTTAGATACATCAATTGATAAATGACATATTGAATTCGTTTTATAAGTGTAATTATTTTATACTTCAGGAACCTAATCTATACTATATTATAAAGCATTTGACAAAAACTCTTAAAAATAATTTTTTTTTATGCATGGAGTACTGTATATTGATGCATATTACTTAAAATTCAAGATTACAAGTAAATTATGCATAAGTACAACTTATTAAAAATTAATGTTTGAATTCGTGTAACTGACTGCGGAAAAACATAATTAAATAGAGGATAAACATCTCATTGTAAAATATAAAAAATCTAAAATATAATTAGGATAATTATCGAGTTATAACAGAATCATTATCTTTATAAAAAATTTATTGTCAAGCAAAAAATAAATTAAATTATCGTAAAAAATAAATTAAATAAATTATATAAAAAACAATAACTTTTAAATAGTTAATTTGATATTAATATCGACATATTTTTTCAAATTTATGTTTATTCAAAAGTAAAAACATTATATTTCTTAAAGCCACATAAATCATATTATATCAACATACAAAAAGTAAATGGAAATATTAAAAGAAAGATGTATCTCGCTGCATTGCGCGAGTACCATTTTAGTCATTAAAAATATGAAAGTTTATTGGATTTTTTATATGTTTTAGTAAGTCTAAGGGGTTTTTTCTGTTCGATTTCTAAAAGTTTAAGGATTCATCCGTTGAAAAAAATAGTTTAAGGATGTAATCAGTCAAAACATAATAGTTCCGTAAGTTTTTTAGACCTTCCCCTGAATAAAATCATTATTATAACATTTTTAAAAAGCAAATATAGGAATCACCAAGCCAATTAAAAGAGTATAATCTAAAAAATGAAAATTATGTGAAAAAATAATGTACTTTAAATTAAATCCTATTTTTGTTAACGTACTTTCAAAAATTTCATTATAGTACATAAGATGTAAAAATTTAAACATCTATGTACCCGAGTAACTGGTTGAAACATTAACCAGTTACCATGTTAATGTGGCGAGTGATGTGGTATCCAACTTAGTATTATTCACTGAAACATTAATCGGATACCACATCACTTGCCATATCAACATGGTAACCGGTTAATGCTTCAGTCAGTTACTGACTAATTAAATGTTTAAAATTTTACATCCTAGTCACCTCCACACCCCTAAACCCCCAACCACCACACCACCACTGTCACCGCCCCATCCCCATCCCCATCCCCAAACAATGAATGGAGATTCCAATCTTTTGAGAGATTTAATTCCAATTTCTACCAATCAAACGCATTGGTCAAATTCCATCAAGTCCACTCTACTCTATCAAAAGTCAAATTTCTCTAATGAATTCTAATTTTATTAAATTTCATTATGTGAACCAAACGACCCCTTAATAAACTAGTTCTTCATTGAAAAACTAGTTAATGACTACTAAAATAGTTGATAAAGTAGTCATGTTTGATAAAAACTAGCTGATAAACAAATAATTAATAAAGAACACTTAGAAATTTATCAAAATACTATGATAAATAACGTTTTAATGACAAATCAAAGGATGCTATTTCAATAAACTAACTTCAAGGGTGTTTGAAATTGCTTATAAGAATAACTTATTGACTTATTCCGGTATGACACCGATAATAAACATTTTTAAGTGTTTGGATAAATAATATATACTGCTGCCAAATCGGTAATAATGACGTTTTTAAACCCTTAGACTTATAATAACTTGATAACACCCCTTGGTTAACAATGGATTATATGAAAAGAATTGCAGTCGAGTGCTTCATTTTCAAAGCAACAGACAAACACTCCCCCGTTTTCCATCTTTCATCTTTCGCCCACCCAAAAGTGGAAAATTCTCATACGCCCAATTTTGATTGAATCCGGATTCACCATTATCATCTTCGTCTTCAGCTTCATATCAGCTTCAACAGATCAATTAAGTCTCAGATCTTAATTTGCTCTTCACAGATCACCGTAGTTGATCTTCCCCAGATCTCGTCTGAATTATCAGCTTCTGTATAATCATATACCTAATCGCCGGTTTATTTAGTTTCGTTCTGCTGTAATCTGGATCTGATCGAGCTTTCCCGCGGCTTCCAAGCGGACCCAATCATGAATCCCTTCTCGTCAGGGACGCGTCTAAGGTGAGTTGCTTTTTGATTGATCGATTTTGGAAAAAGTTTAAACTCGGTGGTGTTTGTTTTGACCTAATTCGTATGACTGTGATCTCGAATTTTTGAATTGAATGATAGTGTGTGATTGTTCCTAATCGGAGTATATGAAATGGTTTCATTTAGTAATTTAACTGAACCACCTTGTGGATGAACTAATACTATGAACTATAAGAATGTTTATGCTAAGCTGTGAATAATGGAGATACCAATATTTGAAGAACATAGTGAATGAAAAGCATAATGACCAAGGTAGGAAGTGTGTCGGCAGGAAGTTGTGCGTAGGCAACTAGGAACTCCTTTATTCACAATATTGTCAAGGCTAAACATAAACCTAGAATCATACCACCCCATAACCCTTTGGCCAAACAGAAAGGCCTTGTTGTAGCCCTGCGTAACAAATTGGCAGAGGCATGACTTATTTCTTGCGATAGCAAGGTCCACCATGTTTCTCTCTATAGAACACGTCCCACATTTTTTACCTACGAGGCGCTTCTGCTCTTTCATTGCAAAAGACAAGGACACATTCAGTAGGGACTAATTAACAAAACTTAATGCATTCATTTTTATCTTCACACCCGTTTACAATAGTAAGCTCACATTAATTTCAAATTGAACTTGATTGCTGTGTGTTCCTTCAGTATACTACAAATCATATTCCTACCTTTGATGTCCTTCTATAAAAGGCAATCTAATTCATCTATCATCCAAGATTTGCTTAAGACTCTATGCTCACATATTAATACACAACCATCTTTCCAACAAGGGAGGGCAGCCTAAATCTGTCATGAATGTTGTATGATATACAAGGGGATAGTAGCGTTCTGGAGATATATTGCAAATTTAGGACCATAATGGCCATAACTATGTCCTTTTAGTGAAGTGGTCAAAGTAGGATTCTGGGTTTTAATGGTGTAGATGTCTATGGTGGATTGGTTATTGATGAGATATGAACCAGCAGGCTGTGTATCGGATGAAACTGTTAATGGAGATACCTTGGAAGGAAATTCAGCTGATACTGTCTCAAACATAGAAGCTAGACGTGTTTGTGCCAAATCATAGACGCAGATCCAATAAAAATGCTGGACGAGCTTCTTACTATCTTATTTTCAAATTGAGGAGGTTAAATATAGGGTTTTGCTTTGAAGCATAAACAAGTTGGTAGACAAAGATGGTGTTTGGGAGGACAAGGGGTTATGTTTTAATTATTTTTGTCCATTTATACACCCAAACCAATCATACTAGGACTGCAATGAACGTTGACATTTAGAACACTCGTGAAGGATTATACATAGAGGGGACAAGGTGAGCAACATCTCAGGTGTGGTTGGTAAGTATGGTAGAGGAACCTAATATGTTAATATGTGTTATTGGATGGAAGAAGAGAGAGGGAGGCAAGAGACATTGATGGTTGTGTTCTTTGAATATTAGCCCGATACTTACAGATGCATTTCTTGCTTGGGACAAATCTCATTGACGAAGAAGGAACAAGCATGATCTTACAACTAGTCAAGTCAACTACTTTCTAGGTCATTCTTGAATTTTCACTGTTCATCTGAAAGGTAAGTGAAGAGGTCTCTCAGAAGTGGAACTAATGGAATTTTTATGGCCTTGGACTCTATTCTAGTTGTGTGTGAACTCTTGTATACTGGTTTTCTCCTGTTAAGATCCACACTTTCCTCGATGCAATTGATTCATTGTTGTAAATTTCTTTACATTTTTGTAACAATGGTATCCGAGCTTTGGCAAGAGGTCCCAGTCTACCGCCCCACACATCCGAACCAGCAAAACTCACCCTATAGGAAATTGGTGTGGCCCATTCCTTACATGCTTTTCTGGTACAATGTAACAATGGTGCTACTTTGGAAAAACCCAAAGAGAGAAACATACGAAAAAGAAGAAGAAACACAATCGTAAGCAATACATTATGTTAGTCTTGTTCACCAAATCACCCTTGGTTCTTTTGCCTTTAAGAGACAAACCAACTATTTTTTAAGTTTCATCACCATGTCTTTCTTGCATTTAGGTGTTTGCACATGAAAGTCCTATTTTTGTTCTCTTGCTCTGTTTGTGTTGGCTTGCCTTTCAGTTATCAGTTATCATTTACCAGTTACTATGCTTGTTTCTCCTTTGAGGAGATTTAATCCAGCAAAATTAAAAACTTCGTTTGGTTCAAATGTCTCCTATAATTTTGAAAGTGTCTCATCTACGTCACAATGCTTAGCTTGTGAGATAAGGTTTATCCTTCATTTGCAGGGACATGATTCGGGCAATACGTGCCTGTAAAACTGCAGCAGAGGAACGTGCTGTTGTTAGAAAGGAGTGTGCTTCTATTCGTGCAGCAGTTAGCGACAATGACAATGATTATAGACACCGTAATTTGGCAAAGCTCATGTTTATTCACATGCTAGGGTATCCCACACATTTTGGTCAAATGGAATGCCTCAAGTTAATTGCAGCTCCTGGGTTTCCAGAGAAGAGAATAGGATATCTTGGACTTATGCTGCTTCTCGATGAAAGACAGGAAGTTTTGATGCTTGTCACCAATTCATTAAAGCAGTATGCACCTACCTATTTTTTATTTTTATTTTTTATATTGTGTTCTGGCAACATGAATGCTTATCTTCTATTCTTGGCACTCTGTTGCCATTTTGGCAGAGACCTTAACCATACCAACCAGTATATTGTGGGACTGGCTCTTTGTGCTTTGGGCAATATATGTTCTGCTGAAATGGCTCGTGATCTTGCACCTGAAGTTGAAAGGCTGCTGCAATTTCGAGATCCAAATGTTCGGAAGAAAGTAAGTGAAAATATCCCTCTGACTACACAATAGAAGGCATCTAGCAGGTCTAAATTGGATTCCATGTATCTTGCTTGCAATAAATGCCGCTATATTTCTATTTGTCTTATAGTTATTTTCTTAGTCACATGTATACTCTCTTTGTCCCAAAAAATGCAACTTACACTTGACACATCGTTTAGTGAAAATGTTTGAATATTAGTTAGATGTAAAAAATTTCCCCTTTATACAAAGTAAGAACAAAATAAAAGTTGCAGATATCAAGTGATGATTGCTAATGGGCAAAACAATTAAATATGGCTCGAGAACTTACCAAAGAAGGAAATATTGCATTTTTGGGGACTGAGAGTAGATGAGACAGATTAACTACTCTACTTACATATTATGTAGTCAAACTCACTTAGGGTACGACACGTGATGGCAATTTCACTGTTCTTTCTGTTGTGCTCCGTTGGAGTCTCGGACGTATGCGAAGTTCGGTGCTAGAGGGAGCTTTGGGATCTTGTACTTGGTGATGCCCCATTTATGACTCATTTATCTCTAAAATTCCAACTGTAAACCCTCCCTCACTCATCTACCAACATATGATAGAAAAAATATTTGAGTGGCCACCCACCTTGCACTAATCTATATTTTAGCCATTAATCTAACAAAATCAATGCGTTGACCACTTGTTATATGTTCTATTTTGGTCACCGCCTGTCACTGTTAATTACTTTTTGCAATTTTTCATTATGCTCTTGTTCAAAAAATTAAATAACTAGGCACATGGATTGAACTTTTTATTTTGGTCACTCAAATATAAAAAATCTAAATTTCTTTGTTTTCATTATCAAGAGAAAATCAGCAAGTTATAATTATTTTGTTGATATAACGTTACACCACATGAGGTATGTATTTTTGTTTCTTGATCACATCAGACAAGTGGCCTGACAAGCTGAGAACTGTGTTAGCTCTGATCCTGTCATCATTTTCTTTTGTTGTAATTGTGTGCCCTTTAGGATTATACTGATAATGAGTATACTCCCTATCTGGAAGTGTTTGTTATCAGCTTGAATATTTTAGTCCTGGCTTGTTTGATGAATCTTCTGTGTGCTCCAGGCTTATTTTGCTTGTTTCCAAGTTCCAGTCTATATGCTTTCTTCTGGTGTTTTTTTTTTCTGACCAAAACTTGGGGCATACTTTGAAGATAAGCGATAAAAAATTATAATATAGAATGCTTGGACTTGGAGTAGTGCATTTGATCTGCATTTCTTCATGTTAAATTCATAATATTTTATCCGATATTAGTTTTTTGCTCTGTAAAGTGTAGTACTTACTTATGTTCTTACAATGTACAGGCAGCACTATGCTCTATTAGGATTGTAAAGAAAGTCCCCGACCTTGTAGAGAATTTCGTAAACCCTGTTGCTTCCTTACTCAAAGAAAAGCATCATGGAGTTCTTTTAACTGCGATGCAGCTTTGTGCAGATCTGTGTATACTGAGTGAAGAGGCTCTTGAATATTTCAAGAAGGTACATTGACCTTGTTTCTCCCATATTTTGACCAGAGTAGAATAAATATTAGCACCTGGTATTAAGCATGCAATCATTGATGACGAGGACAGATAACTGCTTGAAACCTAAATGATTAACTGCCTGTGTCGCGTCGAAAATGAGTCCAACCACAATCACATAAAACATCATAAGAGCAAAAAGCGTGATATATGCCTTCACTAAGTTTAAAATGTCTCAGTAAAGAACTCTTATTTCCTTTTCAAGCTGATTTGAGATTGTTAGGAGTTAACATTTATATGAATGTATTGTACAAGAAGGTTATCCTTGGAACAGGAAAGACTTGAAACCAGCAACCAAATGGCTGTGAATGTATGTTGGTCATCAGAAGCATTATAACCTGAGTTGTAGCTAAGCTGGGAAAATGACTTCCGAAGAAAGGGATAATTTTGTTGCTAACATGTCGATCATAAAATCATCAGCTAAGGTTGGGAGGAAATCTGCATCTTAGGTTTCATCTGATTGTTGGATGGTTGTGAAATGGAAAGGGATTCATATAGTACAACTGTAAATTAACTAAAATTTAGTGGATAACTTGTTGGGCAACCAGAAAAACTTTTGGGAAATGAGATTATTTTGATTTATACTAAAAACATGAAATTTGAAGAAACAATATTTTATGACAGTTGTAATTAGTTGGAGTAGGAAGATAAAACAGGAAATTTACTGAACTTTGTTTGGACATCATGAACAGAGTAAGTTTATCTACTGGCAGAAGCGTTATGATACATTATTCTACAAACGGGGGGAGACATAAACTAAATCTGAGCTCCACATAAGGGAAAGTCTCTTTAACTGGATAGTTCTCCTTATAACATAATAACGAAGAAGACTTCAACTGCAGCCAAGCTCATATACAAGAGAAACTGAGCTGAGAAACAACTTAACTGAACAATTTTTTTTTTTAAATGGGTATCCGAGCCAACGCTCGACTAAGCCCAGGCACATCCAGGGCTAAAGCATGCCCCTTTAGTAAATGTCGCACAGGATGTGTGAAGAGGGGTTCGAACCTGGATTCAGCGCTATGAACTGCCCAGGCACTAACCACTCCACCACAACACTGAACAATTCTTCTTAGTGCACTTGGAACATTTTCTATGATCTCCACATGGCATTATATTGGAAGTATGGCTTAGGTTGGTTTTGATATGGTAAACTATAGGCTATATGTTAAACCTACTACATGTTAGGGGTGTGTTTAGAGTATTAATATTCCATTTATTGGAGTGGATTATTTCTTACTATATGAGACCCGAGGATAACTCCACTAATGCATTTGCTACCAACTGGTTTGAGATGGAGCCTCCAAGGATCTTCACAATAGATGTTTGATGTATGTCTGTTTAAAAGGTTTTCAAGTGATTGAGCTACAATCAACCTTTTATTTTCACTGATTTTGAGTACCTTGCTATGCATACATGTCTGTGCAATAAGTTTAGAAACCTTTTTATAATATGTTACTTTCTGAACTTATTTACCCTTTCCCCCTATTTTTTCCAACATCGAGCTGTTTCCCAGTATTGAGGCTTTATTGGGCAGGCGAGTATTTCTATTAGTAAAACTCTGAGTGCGTTAAGGTCATGCTTGCTGGCCATTTCTGTTGGTGATTTGGTTTAAGTATGTGTGTTGTTATATCCAGAATAAAGTGATCTCTAGGATGATATTCTCATTGTTCTAATATTGATGAAGTTGGTTTTGTTAGTGCTGAACTACTAATTCATGGACTTCATTTCTTCTACTTCGTTGAGTGCCTTAAGCCCTTAACTTGTTCAACTTGAATGAATTAATTGTTGTTCAATAGCCGGTGTTCCCCTCTTTTCTACGTACCTTCAGTTTTTAATGCATATTTGTTTAGCTGAGAATGAATTGCCGTACCATTTTAATGTCTTTTAAAGTGCCCAAAACCGGACAAATCTATTAGATGAGATCTTTTTTCTTCCTTTTCTCCTTTGATCTAGAGATGCACGGAGGGCTTGGTAAAAGTTCTGAAGGACGCTGTGAACAGTCCATATGCTCCCGAATACGACATTTCTGGGATTGCCGACCCTTTTCTTCAGATAAGATTGCTGCGCCTTTTACGCATATTGGGCCATGGAGATGCTGATGCTAGTGATTGCATGAATGATGTTCTTGCTCAGGTCAGCTTCCATCTTGTATTTTATATCCTGATAAGTTGTCATCACGTCTGATATAGAGTTTATAATTATTTATCTGCATGTTTTGCTTGATTGTTGCTCTCATTATATTTCCCCCCTCACTAGAGTAACTTGTGCTTGTATCACATCATTGAAGTGTGACTGCTAATAGTGTCACAGCTAGTAGTTTGATTTAAGTATTTGTTAATTCATTGTCATTACGGCTTGATGAATTTTCTTTTATAACTGTTATGACATAAAACTACCAACTTGTAAAAGTGTATTGATGGCCTGAAATGAAGTCTGCTTATACTGCTTCTCTTGCTTATCCTGTCTAGGTGGCAACAAAAACTGAGTCAAACAAGAATGCAGGGAATGCCATCCTTTATGAATGTGTAGAAACTATTCTGAGCATTGAAGATAGTGGTGGCTTGCGTGTTCTTGCAATTAATATTTTGGGGCGGTTCTTGTCAAACCGTGACAACAATATCAGGTGAAGCGTCTCCTCTTCCATGGTATTAAAAATCTGCTCCTCGTGCAAAATGAAGTGGAAGCCCAAGTTTCTTTCAGTTTTTATGCGGACCTTATAGTATCATGACATACATATAGTTAACTTTGACTATCAAGTCTCATGTAGTTCTGAAAAAAACATGAAAATATGTGAACCTGTTAAAGCTGAAGTACCAAATTGAATATGTGTTGGTAAATGACAATATAGTACACGAGTGCTATAGTACACGAGTGCTTCCTCTATGATTCAGGCTTTCATTTTTGGAATCAGAGAATATAATCTGAAATGCTTAAAAGTATGCAATACCAATGTTCTACTCATCCCTTTGTGTTACCTTAGTAAAAAGGCCCACGATCAACTTTGTATGCTCATGCTAATTGCTATTGATGGTATGATATGTTGCTTAACACGATAGCAGCCTTTCTCATGATCGCTCCAAAGATAACTTTCCATGGGATATATTGTAAACGTGACTGGTCAGATTGTTTGTTTGTTCCTTTAGATGTTTCAGATTTTGGTTTCTACTGGTTCTTGATATGCTATAGGATTGTTGAGAACTACCTGCTGCTAACTTTTTGGTTCAGTAATTTAAAATTTGAGCCTTACATGGCAGATATGTTGCATTGAACATGCTGATGAAAGCAATATCAGTCGATGGTCAAGCCGTGCAGAGACATCGTGCAACAATCTTAGAATGTGTGAAGGTAATCTTATATTTTATGAATAAGAGTACATTTATAAGAGTGGCAAGGGAGTGGCGTTCCGCTTTGATCTCATTTAACTCTTCATATGTTCTTAAGTAGTGGGTACATTGTTTCTTCTTCCTTTCACTTCCCTGTATTCTTGGTATTAGTCACTTAAAATTATGCTATCATTTCTGTACTTCAAAGCACAGTTGTGTTTATGATTGGATTATATTTATCTTCTGTCTGTTGTAGCTAATTTAGTGGGTTTTCTTATATTTCACTTCATTTCCAGCTCCTATGTCATGTTGTTGTTCAATAGTTAGTGTATCAGCCCATAAACTCCCCCCCCCCCTTCTTGAAAAGTCATTTTTTCTTCTTGGACAGTTGAAATAAAAGTTCACAGTTATTGTAGGTGAGCTACATAATTGAACATTTACCTGAATGTGATTTCTATTGAGAGTTATGGCATAACGTTGATGCATCACCCTAGAGTTCTGTCTACATTACTACATTGTTATCTCAGAAAGTGAACTTTTTTGATTCAGGATTCAGATGCTTCAATTCGCAAAAGAGCCCTTGAACTTGTGTATCTTCTGGTGAATGAGAGCAATGTAAAACCTTTGACCAAGGAGTTAATTGATTATCTGGAAGTAAGTGACCAGGACTTCAAGGGAGATCTTACTGCAAGAATTTGCTCCATTGTGGAAAAGTAAGCAGAATCATTTTCTATAACTGTACTGTCTTTTTTAAGGTATGCAATATTTATATACAGCAAGACTCACACACACTCTTCACCTTTGGTGAGGCTTGAACCCTTGGGCAATGACCCTTTGGTACAACTGTATTCTCTTGTTGGTATGAAAATTACAAAATTCTTACAGCCCACTGTAACCATGGTTTATTGCAGAAAATATTAAACTGCTACACACTGGGTTTCTTGGAATCATCGATTTAGCATCCCTCACTTTTTAAAGTGATCTGTGGATGGGAAATATCAAGTTCATTCACCTCTATTTGGTGCTTTGAAATGGAAGTCACATTGGAAGGGCATGGATGTATTCAGTACTCTAATTCATCCCCTAGCCAGATGTTGCAATTTCACTTCCACACAGAGGATCATGCGTCAGCTTGCATTTCTCTCTGGCCTGATCCTTGGTTCTCCTCTTCCATACCATGATAAAAAAAAAAGCATTGGAGTTGAATAGATATGACGCAGCGGGAGGATTGTCAAGCGTCTAAACCCTTTAAGATGACAATCCTAGCCCGCGTAGCACTCGGAAAATTAAGAGAACTCTTAAAACTAGAGATAAAACTCTAAAAGTAACTTTATTGATCAATCATTTAATAATAACGAAAACATTGAACCCTATTTATAACCTAATCTAACTAAGAGATAACTATTGAAATTAAATTCAAACTAATTCTTATTCTAAAATCTAAACCAACTATGAAACTAATAAAATAATTAACTAAAACTAAACTAATAATATTCCTAATCTAAATGTAAAGCTGATAAATAATAACTAAAGTTAAATAATTAACCTAAACTAATTAAGAAAGAAAATAATCAAATAAACAAATAAAAGCAATTTGTGCTAGAACCGTCAGGACATGCGTGACCTGGCATGTGACCCAGGTCGTGGGAGAAGTTGCGTAAGCCTATCTTCAAGTTTGATGCATAATAAATTAGTTTGGACATGACTATGAGGAATCATTTTCTGTTTTGACATGTGATTTGTTGAGACTCGAATCAATTTTACGATATTTCAAAATTATCTTATGCATGCTAATATCATTTCTCTATTCATCCAGGCTTTCCCCAGATAAACTTTGGTACATTGATCAAATGCTCAAGGTTCTTTGTGAGGTATGCATTTTTGTAGTAGGTTATTTTCATTGTCCCAAATAAATGCTGAACACTTGATATGCCAAATGTTCACAAGTAAATTAAACCGAGGCAACCGGTGTTCTTTCATAGTCAGGAGGTTGACTGTTTATGATTTTTATCATGTCTGTCTGTTTGTTACCATGGTGTCCATCAAGTATAGTTTATTACATTCCCTTTTACTTTAAGTCTTCTTCAAAACCATAATCTTGCTTTTAGGTAAATTTGTTCCGAGAATGCTGCACCTGAAATAGTTTATTCCACCTATTTAGACTTCTCTTTAAGCTTTATCATATGTTGAGATTGGATCTAACTTTGCTTTTGCTTAATGAAATACTAAAATCGTGTGCTAATGCTTAATAGGCTGGAAATTATGTAAAGGATGAAGTATGGCATGCTCTAATTGTTGTCATAACCAATGCATCTAACCTCCACGGATATACAGTAAGGTCACTCTATAGAGCAATCCAAACATCAGTTGACCAGGTACCATGTATTCCCTCTTGATGAGCCTTGGTTATTTGGTCTAATCTCATCTTTTAATGGAAGTTTCTGTCCCCATATACACATGGTATTGATGCATATTGTTTGCCTGCTTTTAAACAGGAAGCAGTTGTTAGGGTGGCAGTATGGTGCATCGGAGAATATGGTGACTTGTTGATGAACAATACTGGAATGCTTGATCTAGAGGAACCTATAACTGTGAGTTTGGTTCTTCGTAATTGAGTTAATGTACTTCATTTTTTGTTTGTTCCTTTTGGCTTGAAATTATCCAAAACTCCCCTAAACAGCATATGCTTATTACATGACCTAAAATTATCATTGCACCGAGCAATGTGGTCTGGTTCTGACTGTTGATTTACCAACGTCCACATCAATGTTCATCCAATCATACTCAATCTATGTCCATCTTACACCTATAAGGGTGTGTTTGGCATCCAGACAGGACCGAACAACTATCAGTGACCAATTTACCCCTAATGAGTTTTGTATATCTTTTATATATTTTGATTAATTTATGTAATTCATTAAACTATAGTAGAATAAATATTCTTATAACAAAATATTCTTATTTTGAGGTTATATTGGTAAAATATAAGTCTGTTCCACCCTGTTTCATTGGGTGGGGGTGGAACACGTCTGTTCCACTCTGTTCCACATAAAAAGTCCTGCCAAACATGGAACAATGATCTCTGTTCTGTTCTGTCCAATGTACCAAACGCACCCTAATAGGCAACATTTTAGAACATAAGGGGCATCTTTCTAGAGCTTGGGTATTGGGAGGATGACGTGAATGTTGCATTGTGTTGGTGTCTATAGCTATTTTGTTGTCACATATCATATAAATTTCTAATGGAGTGACATCCTGCATGTCACTCTCTCTAAGGGGCCGTTTACCCAAACGCTTCCTCGGTAAGCGGTTACCGGGTAAGCGATTACCGGTAAGAGTCAACACTCCAACGCACTTTACCGCATAAGATTGTAGTCCATCGAAACGGTATCGTATGCAACAATTTACCCAGTAAGCGCTTACCGGGGAAGAGTCGTTACACTCACTTACTGGGTAAGACTCTCCATCCTTATCATCGCTCTTACCGGGCAAGATTCTCGGCCCTTGCCATGTTCATCCGATAAGGTAAATGACCCGGTAAACACTTACGGGGTAAGCGTTTAGTAAACGGCCCCTAAAATCTATGTTTAACTTGAGTTGTTCTGCACAGGTAACAGAATCTGATGCAGTGGATGTTATAGAACTTGCTATCAAGCGCCATACATCTGATCTTACTACTAGGGCAATGTGTTTGATTGCTTTGCTGAAGCTGTCTTCACGTTTCCCTTCTTCTTCACAGTAAGTTTATGTTTGGTTCATTAAAAAATAAGTTTAGATTGCTCAACTTCAACTGACATTAGGGGTTGGGCCAGAAATTGAAGGTTCGTAAAAAACCTATTTTCTATTTTAAAACGACTTGCCCCAGTGAGATTTCTGTTTGCTTGTAGTGACAATATGTAAGATCCCACATTGGTTGAGGAGGGGAATGAAAGTTGCCTTATAAGGGACCGGATACCTCCTCCATCAGACACGTTTAAAACCGTGAGTCCAGGTGTGGACAAAGCGCACAATATTTGGTATTGTTGGTTTGGGATGTTACAAATGGTATCAGAGTTGGGACCCGGACTAGTGTGCCAGCGTCCCAGTTGCCTTATAAGGGACCGGATACCTCCTCCATCAGACACGTTTAAAACCGTGAGTCCAGGTGTGGACAAAGCGCACAATATGTGGTATTGTTGGTTTGAGATGTTACAAATGGTATCAGAGTTGGGACCCGGACTAGTGTGCCAGCGTCCCATGAGGGTGGCTTGTAAGATCCCACATTGGTTGGGGATGGGAATGAAAGTTGCCTTATAAGGGACTGGGTACCTCTTCTGTCAGACGCGTTTTAAAAACCGTTGGTCCAGGTGTGGACAAAGCGGGCAATATCTGGTACGGTTGGTATGGGATGTTACACAATAATTACTTTTTCTTTGTGTTTGCTTCTAGTTTGATCGTTTATCTGATCTATCATGCTCCCATCATTTTTTATCCCCGTCATATTTTCTTATGTATTTTGGAATGTGATGGTCCTTGATCTTCTATGCCCAGGTTTTGTTGCTTCTTGATGTGTGATAGTTTCAAAAGGATCCTCTAGCACACAACTGTTCAATTTTTCATTGTTATAACCTTTGTACGGAACCTATAAATATGCTGATATCATAGTTCTTATTTTTAGGAGAATAAAAGACATTGTTACTCAATCTAAAGGAAGCCTTCTGCTTGAACTGCAGCAGAGATCAATTGAGTTTGATTCCATAATTGAAAAGCATCAAAATTTAAGGTATGGATTCATTTTCTTCTAGGAATTGCTTTAGCATCTACTTGATGTAACATTTTTATTTTTAAATACCTTATCGCAATCTTATGTGGTTTGTAGCTAACGTGTTTATAATGCTAATGCATTTAAAGGGCTGCCCTGGTTGAGAGGATGCCAGTTCTTGATGAAGCCACTTACAGTGGAAGGAGGTCTGGTTCTGTGCCAGCAGCTGTTTCCACCTCACAGGGAAATGCACTACATCTTCCAAATGGAGTTGCCAAAATGGCTGATGCCCCTCTATTAGACTTGCTTGATCTAAGTGTAGATGAACCTGCAGCACCTAATTCTTCGGGTGGCAATTTTCTTCAGGACCTTCTTGGTGCTGATATCTCATCATCTTCATCACAATCAGGTTAAGTTAAACACTTGTGAAACTACTTTTTGCTTGATAAAATGGTTTTCTGCTGAAAAGATTGTGAATATATATATATATATGTGTGTGTGTGTGTAGGGTCAGTGGAAAACCGCAAAAAATGAAAAACTGAGGAAAACGCTAGTAACCATTCATCTGGACGTGTAACTTTTTGGCCCCCATATGTGCACAGCCCAGGTGTTCCTCAGTTTTGCACATGAGCATATGGTTACCAGGTGTTCCTCAGTTTTGCAACTTTTTGGGGGTTTTCCCCTGAACCTCCCTAATCCCTATATATATTTGATGTAACATCCTCTCTTTTTCCTCTGAATAAAGATTAGCTAGAGAGCGGACCCTAGATTTTTGGTTCGTGCTGCTTCAACAAATGTAGCTGTGCAATCCCTTTCTTGTTTAGCGGTTTTGCTAGTTGACCCAATATCAATGGGTTTCTTAGCGTTAACAGTTTTGTAGTGTGAGCCAGACCATTTATCTGTCTTGTGGCTAGGCATCAGTTTAACTGATTGAATTGGTTGGTCCGGTCCATGTTTTAGAACATTGTTCTGAACACATTAAGAGCATTGGCAATATATGAATTTGACCATTTTCTACTGAATTTGGATGAAATTTTCATGTTGTGATTATTACTATTATTATTTTACCTTTTGTTCCTTTATCTAATGATGTTTCCTTACCAAGTGGTCTCATGTGCCATCTTTACTTTTATTAGTTTCAGGTAAAATTCAGGCACAAAAAAGTGGCACAGATGTTCTGCTGGATCTATTGTCAACCGGGTCAGCTCCGGCTCAAAACGGCTCATCTACACCTGATATATTTTCCATAAGTCAAGATAATAAAACTTCAATTAGTGCTTTAGATAGTCTTTCATCACCTATGGTACCGCCAGTACAAGCCTCGCCTATAACAGGAGGTTCCCCTATGGACTTGTTAGACGGATTTGGTCCTAACCCCCCAGTACCTAGTAAGTATTAGTTAAAGTTTATATATAGAGAGGGAGGTCCACGGGAAAACCCCCAAAAAAATGAAAAAACTGAGGAACATTCTGGTAACCATTCATCTGGATGGTATGCACATGTGCATACAAGTAATTGAAGTTGTTTTTGGTGTTTATGCACGTGTGCTTGTTATGCACATGTGCATACCGGACAAATTGCTTAAAAATTACTTGTATACACATGTGCATAACGGTTACCAGGGTCAGCGTGTTCCTCGGTTTTTCATTTTTTTGCGGTTTTCTTGTGAACCCGACCCTATATATACACAAACACACACGCACATATATCATGTTGGTTAAATAACTTCTTTATCCTCGAGATCTTCTTAATGGTTATTTCCATGAACAGAAGACAATGGTCCTGCACATCCACCAATTGTTGCATTTGAGAGCAGTTCGTTGAAGATAATTTTCAACTTCTCTAAGGAACCCGAAAGTCCGCAGACAACACTCATTGAGGCAAATTTTACAAACAAGTCTTCAGAGGTTTATACAGATTTCATCTTCCAGGCAGCAGTGCCGAAAGTAAGAACAAATCTTTTATTCAATTTTTAGCTGAGCTTTCCAGATGTTTTTATTTATATTTTTTGCAAGTAGTATTAAACATGAATTAAATAAAACTTTATAGAAGCTATATATCATCTCATATTGGCCCCCATATGTGCACAGCCCAGTTAGCATTAGGTGAATCATATAAATTTTCATCTGGTTTTTTGGGTAACCGTGGGTATCTGGGCTAGCTTATGCGCACCAACTAATCCCCAGGCAACCATAATGGCCTGGAGCCATCGTAGGTGAATTTCCATGGCCACAAGGGATTTGGCAGCTCTTTGATTCTGACCTGGATTCAAACCTAGGGGAGATGAGATTTCCACTACATCTCTCAGAGCCTTAACCAGTGCCCCACAACCCAAGTGGGTATTATAGTGTGGTTGTTTGGATTTCCACCTTATTTAAAGCAAATCATTGCGTTTTTGGATCCTTCTTTATAAATAGAAGGATGGATCACTACATTCATAGAACAACACTCCCTCCGTTCCAAAATTTGGTACTATTAAGGGCCTGTCTGTTAGCACCTTAATGAGCTTAATGGGGTCAGCTATACATGACTGTTTGGTAGTGGCTTAATGATGTAGAAAGTGGCATTCAGTAAGCTTCTAGGGGGACTTTTATGCAGAAAGTCAAGTTTTTTTTCCAATGTTGTCTCTCCCAATTAAAAAAAGACGCTTCTTCCATCTATAAAAAACCCTCCCAAACAAAAACATTATGCATCTATATTGACAGACTAATCCGCACATACCACTTTATCCATCCAGAACTTGATGAAAAACCAACCAAACAGCCTCTTACTCAAATATCTAAAATGCCCATCAATAATATAAAAATAAAGGAATCTAGTGGATGAAAACGTTTGCATCGAATTAAACCACATGCTCCACCGCTTCCATCCTTCCTTCGCCTTTTCATGGCCACGTATCTTTCCGGGTTTTATTGGATAATGGGGAGTTTCGAATTTCGTGTACGAATGCTGTCAAATTCTTTGTAACGATTGCTAAAGAGTAAAGAAGTAATCATGGATTTTAACTTTGTGAAAAGGGAAATGTTGCACTTGTTTTGGAGCATTATGATTACATGTATTTTATGGAGGAAAAAAGAATTATGCTTCTTGACTTGCATTTACACTCTTCGGGGTAGAGGTCTGGTTTGTGTACATCTTACCCTCCCCATACCACTGCCAGGTGGGATATATTGGGTTCGTTTGGTTTGGTTTGGTTTGGTTTGGTTCTCGACTTATATTTGGTGATATGGTGTAATTTTTTTATCCACAGTTCCTTCAGTTGCATTTAGAGCCTGCTAGTGGTAATACTCTTCCTTCGAGTAGCAGTGGATCAATAACACAGAAATTACGAGTTACCAACAATCAACACGGCAAGGTGACGTCACCTACTTTCTTGTTTTGATTTTATAAACTCGCGTAGTTCTAAATAACTCGTTATGGCGTTGAGGCTATGCTTCGCCGCCACGTTAACCCTTGTGGCTCACTCTAAGGCTTAAACTTCCGTCGTAACGCGTTATGGCGTGTTACAAGACGTTATTTTGTAAGGCATGGGTTTTCTTTTTTACCTTTTTTAAACATATAATTAGGATATAAATGATAATTATGTACGACACCCAAGACTTAAATAAACATTAAAAGGAGACATAGAAACTAAAACCCTAAATGGGTAAATCCACAAACGGAGAGTCGAACATGAATTATTTGAAGATTGAAGAAAGTAGTGAATAGAGAAACTCGAGGTTTAATCTCGATTTTGCGGTTTTGATATATCATTTTCTTATAAGGTCGATATATTTGCTATAAATGGTTCTTTACTTTTTCGTTTTATAGCTTTAAATGAATTTAAATTGTTTAATGGGATCATTCAAAACACTAACACACATATGTACACATAGAGGATAGATCTTTTACAAACTCAACCATTAGTACAAACCATACAAACTAATTAATTGAAATATTTATAAAAATGATGAGAGTTTATTTATTATGATTTGTGATTTGGATATTTATGGAAGATGATATGCGTTCTTTTATTATGATCTAACATTTTATATTAGGAAACAATCGAGATATTTATTGAATCAGGTATTCATTAGATTAGATGAACGGTTGAGATTGGTTTATACCAATGGTTGGGTTTGTAAATGAAACAATCCCTACATACCTATATGTATACATATGGCGCCTTAGCCCTTAGGACACACCTTGAAAAACGCCATGGCCTTGCCATAACTTATAAGGCTCGAGGCTTAACCTTGCCGCCACGCCACACAACGCCACAAACTGGCGTGTTTATAACATTGCACTTTTCACAATCTTTGCGGAAACAACCGCTCTATTCTTTGTGATAGAAAATCTCAGGTGGGATATATTGGATTTGTTTTGTTCTGTAAATAACGAATGTTGTTAATCGTGAACAGAAATCGATCATGATGCGTATACGAATAAGCTACAAGTTGAATGGGAAAGATATGTTGGAAGAAGGGCAAATCAGTAACATCCCTCGCGACTTGTGAGGTTGGTGTGTAGTGTTTTTTAGTGCAATTTTTTGGTTTTGTTGTTTACTCTTTTTCAATTTCATATATTAATTGGGAGTTGGGGTTTATAGAGACAATGTGGGTTGTAATATGTAGGCATTTGGATTGTTGAGTTAAGAACTTGTCTTTTTCTTCCTTCAAATGTGGTTTTTGTATATTATGAAAACAAAACATAATTTTGTATGCAATTGTGAGGATCAAATTTTGCTCATTTCGTTGTTTGTTTAATGGGTTTCGGTCTTTTATTTAGGGTCGTTTCCCGAATGCTTACTGGGTAAGCGTTTGCTGTTCATAGGTTGAAATCCAATAGATTTAGGTGGATCCGATCTGATCCAGTCATTCAATAGATTTTGGATTTTGTCATTTGATCCAATCCAATTAACATTGTACGCCTGCTCCCAAAAGGTATAACTACAAAAAGCCCGAAGTCTAGGCCTAAAAGCTCGATCGGGTCAAGGCACTCATCAACAACAAAATAACCTACACAAATCATAAAAATAAAATGTAACAATTCTTACCATGATTTTGTGGAGGAAGATAAAAAAAATCTATAAAATAAAATACAACACATCAATAACAACAAATGGCTTACATAAAAATATAAAATAAACCATGAATAATGTAGTTATCATCTTGATTAGACATTCGATTGTCTAGTTTGTAATATGATGGAGGAATTAGTAAAACAAAAGGAAAAACATTAAATGAGATATAATAATCTGTATATATATTAAAGGAAGAACCAAGAGTATTGAAGTGGCATCATGAGAATTGAGTATTGAGGTGTTGGTGAATTGTGGTTGAGTTTGAGATATCC